ACTGCCGTTGTCAACAACGATTCAGTGGGAGAGAAAAACTTAACGACCTTATTATTTTCTACTATGATTCTTTCCAACTCTCATTTGCTTTTCATTTAGATAAGAGTCGCTTTAATGTCAATATGTTGGATACCTTGTCTCACTCGTTGTTTTTGTTATTCTTTATATTGATCGTATTAAAACGATTGCTTTTCTCTTTCAGACAAGAGCATAAAGATAACAATAAAAGTATATTTAATTTTTAGAGCGATAGCATTGGAAAAACATGTTTTACTGACCGAAGTAAGGTGGAGTTATTTGACGAACAGTGGCGTAGCCAGAGGTACGGCCATTGGGCAATTACCCATGGATTTTTTGAAATGATACCAATTGCATAATGCTGCAAAATCTTCATATACATACACTGTAATTTTTTTTAAAATTCTATTTTGAAGAAAATCGATATTGAGTAAGCTAAAGGATTTTATAAGTCTTATGATTTATTCATCGAATTTCGAATATTTTGAAAATGCTGGATTTTCTAATTCTAAGAATTTCGGTTTTATTTTCTATGTTAAATCGAAGCTAGAATATCATTTGCTTATTTTCGAAAAGCTGGAAATTCATTGTTGAATTCATATGGACATTCCTTGAATATCCTTCCAGAATTCATATAGGCATTCCATTTTTTTACAGTGTACATGTACAAAGATTCATGTGATGTCATCTTAATACATTGTATCTTGTTGTGAGCTAATCAAGTGTTCCCGAAAAATCAACCGACTATTTTTTCCATTAAACCAATGCTCACAATGATGACAATTTCATGGTATTTTTTTTTCAAAGTACTCGTTATTCTACTTAAACTCACTACTGGTTCTATTTGTACTTATTTATGTTTTTCGACATAATATATTCAAATATTTGAAAGTTGAAGAGTACATTTGTGAAACAGTCCAAAAAAACTGTTAGTACAATCTATGCAGGATTAAAATGTGAAAAACGATGTAGCTGCTGTTACTAATCACGAGAATATGGTTTTATTCAATCTATCTTGGGACTCATTTTTTATCATCGTTTACTTAATCCTCTAGAACTGCAAGAAGGAAGGAATTTATATATTTTCATGAGATGCTAGTGATCTATAAGCACTAATCGTGTATCAAAAAACGTCTGTCACGATCTATGGGGAGCACAGTGAACAGCCCAGGCAACAAAATCAATTTTCGAGATTTGAGCCTATATCATAGCTAGCATGGAAGCTACTATGATGCTGCATTTAAGTGCATTCTGAACGCTACTTTATAGTGAGTGTTTGTTAAGCAGCAGGTACCACAAAGTACATCAAATTAGTGAATATCATTAATAGAACCATGTAAGTAACTTGTATGTTTTAAATTGAGGATATAATTATAATCAATAGTTATTATTTAGTTATACAGTGCTATGTATTTAGTATATATTACAGACCATTTGGACTTTTTAAAGTTCTTTAGGCTATAATAAGATCAAAAACTTACGCTCAGTGTAGTACAAAAATAACCACTGGTCAATAATGCAGTTATCTTCCCGAAACTTTAATTCGACTTTTAATTTCTTATTTGGTAGAGCATGCCATCATCTATCTTCAGTGGATGCGCAAAGATGCGCGTTTAAATCCTTGTCGAGATATTGTGTCTCAAATGTAACCCTCTATCAAAATTTGTTGACAATTTTATACAGTGATCACTCATGTTCCAATCCTTCAAGTTTCGAATAGATAAATAAACAGCACACGTACACCAACCTCAGGTGTGGGTATGGGGGTGTGGGTGTGGGTATGTGGGTGTGGGTGTGTGGGTGTGGGTATGTGGGTGTGGGTATGTGGGTGTGGGTGTGTGGGTGTGGGTATGTGGGTGTGGGTATGTGGGTGTGGGTATGTGGGTGTGGATGTGAGTGATTGACGAAGAATAAGCTACACTCACACCCACACCCACACTCTTTGAAAATCAAGGTCAAACTTCACCTGGATGTAATCAAAAGTATCGTTGTCAGCAACAAAAGGTAGAGAAAAAAAACCCAGCAATATCATTTATTTTATGGTTATTCTTTCCAACTCTCGTTTTCTTATCATCTATATAGTTAATAGTCACTTGAAAGTCAGTGCGTTGGATGTCTTATCTCATTCAGTTTTTATTTGTCTTCTAGCATCTCGAAACAAATGAAGACATTGTCAGTTTTATTTTTATTTTTTATTATGCTTAAGACTTACTTTCTGATAATGTGACCAAAAAAAAATGAAGAATAAATTCAATATTGTTACAAACAACAATAGAACAACAGTTTCTGCTTGCTCCCCCAATATACTGTTCATCATTCACGAGTTGTTCAAGTAAAATAATAATAGTTCGAATATAATTGAGTATTGAAGTACGTATTATGAATTCAATGAAAGTACTAAAATATATAGATATTTTGAGAATTTTACGTCATATGTATTGAGAAATACGTTTTTTCTGAGTATAATACATATTTTGTTAATATAAAAGAAATTTTTGATCTTTCTAATCACAATTTTCAAATATTTAACTGTTGATGGAAAGGACAGTACAAAGAAAAAGAAATCTTACTTGGAAATGAATTACTATGTGATTACAATTATTCAGTTAATTTTTACAGTGTATTACAATGAATTATTTTAGGTTTTTATTAATTACATATGATTCATATTTATCATGATATTAGTTACATTTATAATGTCATTATTTTCATCTCTTTTGCATTTTGTGTAGTGTTCTTTCCATCGATACTTACATGGTTTAAAAGTGGTCGTTAGAAAGACAGAAAATTCCCTTTATATAAACAAAATATTCATTATACTCAGAAAAATATTTATCTATATATTTAGGAATGAAACCCGTGCAAGCTTTTATTGATTTGCTATTACGATATTTTAAAAATTGTCTACTTGCAGTTATGAACTTTACTCGTGTCACATACTGCTACACAGTTTCAATCCTAATTCAAATCAATTCTTAAAATAAAATTAACCTTTGGTTTTTTTTTTCTATTTCGATAGAACAGTTATTATTTGAATGAAAATAGTTTTATTTCTGGATACTGATGCCATATGTGATAATGAAAGTTGCATTTTATTTCCAAGTAGTATTAGACAAGTACTACTATATTCCCGTTTTTTCAGTGTGTGAAATGTAATCATGACCATATCTCAGTAAGACTGGCAGAATGAATTTATCATCACTCATAAGCTTGTTAATATGTTTTTTGATTTATATTAAACTCATTTGGAATATATATGGTATAATAAAAAGACATCTTGTTCCATTGATATCCAAGATTCATAAAAAACTAATATTCAAATTGTGTTTATCCAAATGTGAGATTCGTACAATTTTAATGTGCATCACAGTGACAATGAGAAAATTTCTGCCCTGTGTGTTAGAAGAACGTTAGAATCTATGTACGAAGTATGATTAGTATAATGTTAAAAAGATCATTAAAATCGAACAACTGTTCAAAAGTTTCTTATTTTCACCGTAAGAAAGCATCTGAGTGATATCAATGAGAATGACTGTTTCAAAAACATTCGTTTCGAAAAAAAACACGAAACAATATGAAATATTTTCTATCATCGATAAATTTGACTTCTGGCATTCGGCTGAGTCAAAATACTAAAATAAAACGTATCGTATTGTAGTAAAATTTAGTTCAAAAAACATGTTGAAAAATAAATCAATGATCAAGATTGGATCACTTTGATATGGCTGAATCTTATCGAAAAAATACTAATTCGATTTCCCACAACAACAAAAAATATTTAACATGTCAAAGTGCAAACATACGATATTTCTTTTATTAGTGTGAATGCATACTGTTTGTGATTATATTGTATGAAAAAAAATTGTTGATTCATTTTTGGATAAAGAAAGTCTTTCGGATACATATGGATATGTACCAATAAAATTTACTTTTTCTGATTTGGATATAGATATTCTCTTCATGCACACCATACCCTATTGTCCTGATTTAATGGTATGCGACATGAATCATATCTTTATGTAAAGAAAAGCAAAAAATAATTGTTTCTCATATATTCGCATTCTATTCAGCAGAGAACTAAAACAGCTTAATTTTTCATATAGATCAGTTGAATATATAAGCAAATAAATCAAGTATTTTCCATGAAAACATTCTATAACTTAATCTTTCTGAAGACATCAAACATAGCTAAATCTCGTTGTATACAGTACAAAATGCATTAGAAGGTTTTATACTATTAGCCAAAGGTTGCTGAAATCGACAAAATATGTAATATAAAATAGAATTTTATAAGAAAGTACGGACAATTTCGCTGATAACAAGTCCCTTCTTTTTGTAAACTTTGTCGTTTTTCAAACTTTAAGATTTTATTAATAAAATCTTGATCAAAATAGATTACAAATCATCCTAACAATAAATTGATTTAACTCAGAATTTAGCGAATTTTATCGTAATGATAAAGTGAAGAAGACTTAAAATAATAACCATCTACATTAGTCGTACTAAAAATTAATTCATATTTTTTTTTTAATTTTATTTGACATTATTTATTAGTTTTGTTAATCCCCAGTAAGATTTTGTATCAAAGAAAGAATTTAAAACACAAAGCACTCAGTTGCTAAGAAAAAACAATAAAAAAAAAAAGCTAAAAACAAACATTCATCAACTATTATCCAATATGAAGAAAGAAAAAAAAAAAACTTTTATTTTTTCTTTTCTTTATAATTTTTCTGATTAATGATGATCATGAATAGTTTTTATTCTTGTATGATCATCATAAGAATTTTTCATATGTTGTTTAAGCATTTTTTCACTTTGATATTTAGAAAAAGCTTGTAATAATTCTGGACAATTTTGTTTTGCTGCTAGATCAATAACACTTTCATTTTTATCATTTAACCAAGATGCAACACCTCCATGTCTCTTATTAAAAAAAAAAATTAAATTTTATTATTTTCTTATTTAATTTCTAATTAAAAAATATAAACTTACTTGAGAAGAATTCTTAATGGCTCAGCACCATCAAGTCCTAATAAACAACATTCATGTAATGCTGTATTACCTCGTCTACAAAACAAAACAAAATCAATATTTCTTAACATTTCGAATATTAATGAACAAAAAAAGAAAAAATACACAGTCAATCTTTGATTTCAATTGACATTAAAATCTCGATATACATGTATATAGAACTTACGGTCCTTTTTTATCTAATTTAGCTTTTCCATCTATAATAAGTGTTTCTAAACATTCATAATATCCATTACGTATAGCCAATTGTAGAATCGTATAACCTTCTTTATTTTTAATATTAACATCAGCTTTTTCTTTTATTAAACGTTGAACTTCTTTTAATATATCGATTTGATGTGATGATTTTTTATTATAATAATTATTTTTTTCTTCAAATAATCGAATTAATGCATGAGTTGACTATTAATTATAATAGATAATTTAATAAGACAAAAATAAATTATAATAAAATATTTTATTCTTACCCTCAATATTTTCTGTAATTTCTCTTGGATATTCATCTATGTAAAAAACAAAGTTTTTTTTTGCAAAGAATACTTTTGCCTACTATCAGAATAAATTGTGTTTGAATATGGTGAACTTCGTTCACTATTTATTGGATAATATTCATTTGTTTCATTAATAAAAAATGGTGATTGTGAAAGATTTTCTGGTTTACGAAATACTGTTTGTATAGTTACTTGATATTCATTTTCATGTACAGTTGCATGAATCATATTACCCATACGTGGTTCACCTAAAAAAAATAATTAAATAATATATAAACTTTTTTAGTATTAATATATAAGATATATATAGAGAGAATTTATATTTTAAATAATAATTATTATTCATTGTAACAAAATAAAAGTATTTGTTTTTTTCAAATATTAAAGATCTTTACCAATCAATGATTGAAAATCTGGTCGATTAACTGCATAAGTTTTTAAATGAGCACAAATATGATCTAATTGTTGTCGCCAATATCCTTTTCCTGGACTTGTAGATGTTAATATTGGACGATATTCTTTTAATTCTTTTTCATTTAATAATTTTTTATTTTGTGTTATAATTGAATCAATATCTTTTGCACTTGGATAATAAATTCCATATGTTTGTGTTGCAACTTCTTTTTTAATTGTTGAATATGATTGATGATAATTAGTCAATGTTGTATTTGCATTAAGCCATACAGGATTAGCTGAATTACGTGTTAATGTCTATAGAAAACAAGAATCTTTTTTTTTGTTTTCTTTTTATTCTTTAATTTTAATATACACTAGCAATCATTGATGACGATGAAATATTCAAATCGTTTTTAAGACGTGTATCAATAATACGTAATGATGGTTCAATAACACATCCACATGTTGAACAAAATTTTGCAAATGAATCATTATTAGTATGACATTTTGTACATTGTATTGATGTAGATGCATGATCAGGATATGCACTACACCAATCACAAAAACGAGCATTAGGATTATTTAAACGAAAACATTTTGAACATGTTATCATCATTGTATTAGTTTGTTTTGATATTGTTGAAATTGAAATTGAAGTTCGTTTTTCCTATTGAAATATAAATACGAAAAAAAAATAAATAAGATTTTTTTTTTTGTTTACTGGTGGTGTTGATGTTGGCATTAATACATTTTCACAAATATAACATGTTCGTAAATGTATTGGATTTTTTGATTTACAATGAGGACATAGAATTCTTGTCTAGAGAGGAACATTAAAATTTGATTAATTTTTTTGAAACCTGATTTTGAGAAGTTGGTCGTTGTTGTGGTTCTTTGGATACTGGTGTTTCACATACAACACATGTGTTAGAATTAAATGGAATAGTAGATTTACAATTTGTACATATATTAGTCTAATTAAAGAAAAATTATCCGTGTAAAATAAGATAACTACTATTCATTTGTAAAGTAATCAATACTGTTATGTAGAACAATACATGATCCGTCAAAGGATATACTCTTTATCAAATTTTACAGTTCTGAAAAGTCATATACCCTCCCCCTCCCCAAATATAGACGGCCACCCTATATTAGAAGGCCATGTACTAATTAATTAATATATTTCAAAATTATCGAAATTTTTATATATATTAATTAATAATTAAGGAAATATAACCGATTTTCTAATGTTTTTTTTGCGAAATCCTTCCTTTCCTATCCTAATTAGTACAGTTTTTACAAAAAATGGTAGTTTTTTCAGCAAAAAACATCTAAAAAACAATAATTAAAGTTATTAATTAATTATTCATTTTTTAAATGATTTTAATTAAAAACTGGCCAAAAATTCACCCCCAATAAAAAGGCCATCCAAAAAGTAGCGATGT